TTGCACCGTTTTATAACTATAAGGTCACCCTGAGAGAGTAACTGATTCATTAACGTAGCATATGCATATGTACAGCGCTTAATAATCTATAGCTCCTCCTTGTTTAAGAGCAACATCAAAGAGCCTGTGTGGCATAATATAAACTAGGTTTCAAAGATGTTCCTCATCGATTGCTCTCCATGCTTCGATAATCGCCCGCTTCAGCTCTTCCGTGCTCTGGAACTGACGGTTATTCGCATAAATCCGATGGAGAATATCTCGGGCATAATAGACAGACAGATCTATTATGCCCGAGATATTCTCCATCGGATTGAGATCGGGACTGCAGGCTGGCCATGGCAGGCCGCTTATTTATTGGCATTGTAGCCACTCATCCGCTTCACGGCTCACACGAATGGAGGAGTTGTCTTGTTGAAAGACATAGTTGAGGTGACAGCGATGGCATGGAAAGGTTACTATATGATGCTCCAAGACGTTCTGGTAATCCTTGAAATCCATACTGCGGCTCACGACAGGTAGATCTAACACGACTTCATTTCCGTCAGGACTGTCTAGACTGAATTTCTTTTCATCCGAAAAGACGACCTGAATAGGAATTATTCCGCTCTATGGTGAGATTTTGATGCAGATCTACCTTTGTCCAATTTCTCCCTAGGTTCATCTCCGCAAATCCGAGTCGAGCCTCTCTGTGGCGATCGGTGATTAGTGGCACCTTCTCCATTGCTTGCCTGGTGATGTTCTCGCATCTTCTGACTGCACTTTAGGCTGTAGTTTTTGACACAGAGAGATTTAATTCCGATCGGATCTAGTTCAAGAAGGAAGTACTGCTGAAAACAGTCCTCAGAATCTTCCGCTCTTCACGGTCAGTAATCTCTTATGGGTGTCCTGCTTGCTTTTTCTTAAAGTGCAAATTTTGAGGGTGACCTTATAATTATGGAACGCACTGTCAGTACGCACCTTAAGATAACATAGATAAAAAATTTTATTATAACTATGTGGTTATAATAATAAACTCTATAAAGTCAACAACTCCAACAAGAAGAAGAAGAAGAAGAAGAAGAAGAAGAAGAAGAAGAAGAAGAAGAAAGATACGACTAGATAGAAATGGTTAGGTGACATTGTTTACCAACATCGCTGAGCCGAAGGACACGGCGGAGATGTAACGTCAAGTGAGAGGAACTGGGTACCAGCTCATGTGGAATCATCAAATCTGGCCGTCTACATTGCCTTCAAGCAAAATTCGTACTCAGCTAACAACGTTCTATTTCTGATAGAGGAAGACAAGCTGTAAGTTGACGTAATAACTTCTGATTCTGCGAAGATTTGTTGGGTGAGGGAAAAATTATTCCGATGATTTACTAAAGGGCATAGCTATACACATCATGAAGATTGGGCCTTTCTGCTCGGCTTACTGGTTTTCCCAGATGAGAACTGCCTGCTGAAAAAGTGGTAATTTGATTGAATCAAAGCTAACGGGTAGCGGCTTTGTAGGAATAGGAAGCGGAAGATGCCTAGGTCAATGCCTAGGCCTGGCATTGAATTCCACAAGTATTCCAGCGATCACCGTCTCAAAACTAGCAAGGACACGTTCAGGGGCGAACTAGAATGATGACTGCTTATTCTTTCAGGTCTGTTCCTTGGTATAGTTCGAGAAGACATGTTGATCCTGTCTTTAGGGTTGACTGTGGTCGGTTTGTTGGGCATGCTCTTGTTTGCTGTCACATGGCAAATACGGCCCAAGGTGAGCGTTTTTGGCTACATATACTGCCAACTCCATAGAAATGATTCTTTCTAACGATATGAACATGATGTCGTCATATGAGTGAGACGGCCTGTCTTGCACTGGCTCGAGGATTTTTGAATGTGTTTGTGTATTGACAGGCTGATATGACCACACCAAGGCGCAGCACCCTGTGCGTACAACCTCAAACATGGGTGATCAAACCAGTAGACAACTCGTTAACGTCAATAGTAATTAGTGGCAATGCTTTTTCAGTCCCTAAAAAGAGATGATGGAAAAACTGTGTGCCGAAGACGGTTCAGGTGGGACTCAGTACAGTCCCGCCAAAACGGGCTGTAGGTTGTCCTGCGGTAGAACATGGAGTCGTGCCATCCACAACATTTCCGGCCCCCCTATCTGCTGCAGCCACTCGCAGAGAGCAATACTGCCACTTGCAGAGAGCATCTTCAAACTGTTATTGCATTTGCCTTTCAACATCAGGAATGGGACGCAACGCTTTGTGATGTATATAGTTGATTATAAGTTTTTCGAGGCGTATGTTTGCAGGCCCCGCACATCGTAGGCGGAGCTTCGCTAAGGTTACGCATGCCCAGCACTTATGTCTTTGTCAATCTTTTTATGGTTTTTATGGCCTCAGTTCCTTTGTTGAATTAAGCTATGAATTCAACTGATAAGTACTGCCTACTTTAATGACGCTCCGCCCACAGCAGGTGAGTTTCTTTCGTCTGGTTTGTTGACCCTATTCTCACTATTTTTTTCCCGATGTTCGGACCTTTTCGAAGCCAGGATAGGACGTTTGGCTATTCGCACCGCACACCCCGGCACTTGCCCTGCCCCCGTGGGCGGAGCTCGTAGAGCTCGCAAAGAGAGATATGTGCTTTGTTGATCTTAACTCAAGCTCCACCCATCCCGAACGTGTCCCGAACTTCGAAGGTGTTTTTTCAGGTAATGTTAATTTGCCGTTGAACATACATGCATACATACATACATACATACATACATACATACATACATACATACATACATACATACATACATACATACATACATACATACCAAACTTGTGGATTATATATAGTAAGGATTGGACGACCTTCTCTTTAGTAGTGAGGGAGAGCTATTGATTTTTTTTGCGCCTCATGTGCCACTAGCTCCAACTCGCGGTGTCTTACTTCGATATCTCGGACTTATACTTGCACAGCGCGGCAGCTTTTCTTTTCTTTGAAGCCAAACGTGGAGAAAAAGCGTTTTCTCCGGAATCGTTGAGAGTTGGTGCTCCTCAGCTAGTGTATTGTCAACAAATGAAATCCCAGTGTCCTACAGAACAGGAACACCACGGAGGTTCCTTGTTATCGACCAAATGAATTTCGCTTTTGGGAAGGTATGTAACTGAATGGATTTCTTACATTCATTGAGCATAAAAATTGCTCTTTCTAGACTCTTCACGCGTTCTACTCCGGCCACAACGTTGACCTTTTAAGTCATATTCCTCTTCGTCCTATTGTCTACCTTCTTTGAATACACAACTTGTGATTGATGAGGTATCTCTTGTACTTTGCTTGCTGCCGGCAAGGTTTTGAAGCAACTTGATGAATGATGAAGTCTTCCCACCCCNCCCCCCCCCCCCCCTCCCTTACCACCGGAAGCAATTTTTGCGTTTGCATTCCGATGTTTTGTGCTGTGGTGAAGCGCACAGTTGACAAAACCGCTGGTCCCGGTGATATCTCTCCCTTTCTTTGAGGGTCCCTGCGCGGTTCAGAAGGATGGTTTATGTTCGCCTTCACAGAGCATGCAGAGATTCTCCCTTAGATTAAAAATTTTCTTCGTCCTTTTCGTTAATGCCGTCTGCGGAGCATGCTAAGATTAGATGATGTTAAGTTTCATCATTTCTTAATCTGACAGAATGCCTTCGATAGTGTCTAATAAAGCTTCCACTGCAAATGCTTTATTCTGGAAGAGGTAGCTTTTTCCAAAGCACTCTTCTCTGGAAATGTGCAGGAAACTTGCCCAGAATTTCCTTGAACCTTACTCGACTGTCAACGTGTTCCGCTTTTGTTTCGGTTGTCTCACAGTAACTTGCACTTGTTTGAAAAGCGCGAGTTGATTTTTTAGAGTCAAATTGCGCAACTGGTAGTGGTCGCGTTGATCTATTAGTTTCCAAATCAGTTTTTCTGGGTTACCATTACGAGCGTAAAGAAAGTGCAAATCACCTGCGTCTCTGACATAAAGTGGCAACTTATAGTAGCCTGTTTATTCCCCTATCTGCCACCTGTAGCCGCCCAATGTAACCAGCTCCGTCATTAAACGGCTAAGGATACAGAGAGGGAGAATCCTCAGTGAGAGAGATCCGCAGAACAAGTTAGTTAAATGCGCTAGTTAAATGCGAAGACTGGTCTCCGGTCATTCATCTTGAGATCAGTACATAAGTTTTATAGCTTGCGACAAAAAAGACAAGAGATGGCAAGCTTATTTATACCGCAGCAGTCAGTGTGCAATGCCCTTGCACTCACCAACGAGTAAAATCTTTGCTTAGTCGAAAAGGGAGACAATCATTTTCTTGAGAATCTATCAAAGTACCGGTCGTAAGCTCAGCACGGCACGAGGAACAAGCGACTTGCAGAAGTTTCAAAAACAAATACATGCACACCGCTTCACTTTTGCGTTTGCGGAAGAAAAAACTTGATCAGTCGTATACGTGCGGGAAAGTTCAATCGTTTACAACTCAAGACTGGTTTAATAGAAATATATACTCGAAGAGCTGATGTTGTGGTAATTCCATACGTAAGATGTAAGATGATAACAGAGAACTCTGAACTAGTTTCTGACGACCAATATACTGCACAGAAGAGTTGGCTGAAAAGTTCTTACGACTCTATACATCGAATCCAGATCCATGGGACCTTCATTTCAGATTATAAACCTCCTGCACTAGTCAAATGCAGCAACTTCACAACTGTTGTTAAAAGAAGCTACAATGTTAAAAGAACACGAATCTAAATTGAATTTTAATGAGGTCTCTATTAACGACTCTCATACACACATGACAGTGGTCACTCAACAGGCGAAATGCTTCTCAAATATCGCTTGTTTTGTTACCCGTACGCAAATAGTTCAGTAATCAACAAGGGTAGTGAATGTGCTGAATTTTTTGGATTCTATCCCTTTGATCTGGAGCACAGAACAACCAGTTATCTCTAGGAAGCAGCTCTACTGATTGACGTTGCTTGTAAGGTTGCTATCGTTCTGATGCTTTTTTTTCAAAAGACGACGAAACTCCACAAATCCCTTTCTGTTATCTTGTCTGTGAATTCTAGTTGCTATGATCAGCGGGAGTGCTGTGGCATAAACCAAAACCTGCCTTGGGCGTTGTCTCAATGAGCACACTTCCCTGGCTCCAACCGCAATCAGGGTATCTTGTCGGTTGTGAAAAAAATCTCTATCACCACTGAACCCCTAAGTCACTTGTTCAACAGAGAGATTCACAATCCCCCTGAATTGCAAAAGGCGCCACCCGATCGCCTGTAAATAACCCCAAATAATGCCTCAGAAGTTTCATCTCCATTTTTTCGAATTTCTTATGATGTGCATTTCTTGTCCAGATTATTCTTCGCCCAATATATCTTGTCAAACACTGGAAAGATGAAAGAGCTGCTAAAGACAATACGATCAATCCCGATACTACTGAGGCGGTGATGAAGAACATACGAGGGATTCCATTTCTGATCCAAGTGAGTTCTACTGAGGGGCAACCTGTTTCACAATTAGCGATGTAGGAGCTTGCTTTATTTGCTTTTCTGATTCTCTCTTGTCCGGGATTTTTGTGTTACGCGTCATCACAACAGCATAACTATCATGCATTAGAGTTGATCCTATCGCATCAATTGCTTGCCGGTATGATTTTCTTATCCACTGCTGAAGTTTCTGCAAAGATTTGGGTGTTCTCTTCATGAAAATAAGTAAATATTATGATAATCGATGTTTCAGGCAATTCAGTATTCCATGGAGACTACATATTATCGTGATGTGTTAAACGAGCTGGGAGAGGGTGTAGTCCGTACTTCAGTCATTCACACAGCACCTGGCTGTACGAGTGTTCTTGACTCAGGTAGTGACGACGAGACAGAGAAGGTGAAAATCACATCGAGGTTCGTCAGTTAATTTGTTTTCTCTATAATGAGGATTAAGAATTCACCAAGATCTTCCGCGGATTCTAAGAATAATCTCCTATATGCCAATCAGACGTGATGTTTCTATTAGTTTCATTCAGAAGTTCCGCGGAAGAGCAATGGTTGCCCTTTGGCGAGAGTTGGCGGAATGAACAGCTTCGTTTATCACTCGAACGAGGAAGCAGCAATTTGCTTGTAAGTTAGTGCTGTATGACCTCTTAAAATAGTTATCATCGTTTTGACTCGATGTTTTGTTAAGAAATTAAGAAGGAAAGAGCAAGCGGGGTCTCGGTAGTGTAAGGGATAGAGCACGGTTCCCGGAAAGTATATGTACGGGTTCAAGTCCCGTCCGAGAAGGAAGTTTTGTCCATAAATCGCCAACCTTGTGAGAGTTATCCTTGTCTTATCTATGAATTGTGCATATATTCTGAATATTGTCTGAAATCTTGGTTATGTTAGATTTAACGTAATTTCCGAGAACTGCTCATCCACAGCTCCACTGGAATGTTAGCTCGAAAACAAGCCAAACACCAGTTCATCTGCAAACACACTGCTCTCAATTGGCAGAACCAAATCCGTTTGTTTTATAAGATTTTAATAAAACCTGCTGCCAAGATGGCAAATAAATTCTTATCAACTTACGTTTCGGCGTTATCGCCTTCTTCAGAGTTAGAAACCTAAAGATAATCGCTATCCATCCCTCATTCAACAATTTAACTTCAAAAACCGGTTCTCTAGACCTAATGTTTCCAAAT